ATGCCTTCCCGAATGCCATGATGTTGGTTACTTTTTCCATAATACTAAAAAAATAATTTTTGCGTCACTGGTCCAATTTAGGGTACATAGGACTTAAATTGGACCACATGGTTACCGATATTGGACCAGGCGGTCCAATATCGGGACGCGTGGTCCAATATACGATAGTAAGGGTTAATATCCAACTGATTTGATTTTAGGAACAAGGCTGGTGACACAGACATTGGAAAACACTTTTATTAGAAATTCAACCTTGAACTGTGGCAACAACAAGGACAATCAAACCCTGTTATAACAGGTACTCTACTAGCATATCCTCCAGTTGTGCAGGCAGAGTGCACGGGAGACCGAAACGCTTCTTTGTACCATTAGCATATTTGTTCTTGTCTTCAAGATGCCTTTTTAGTGTCGCCTTGGTTACCCCGTATGTACGACTTATAGCATTTAGTCCCGCGTCTCCGTTCCTGAACGACATAATCGCCCTTTCCATGTCTTCTTCACTCCACTTCCCATATTTTCCCCTGAAAGATAATTTTGCCTTATAATTGGAAGACCATTAAATTAAATAATTATTCTTTTCTTTCGCTCGTCTTAAAAGCTTGAAAGGATGCTAAACTGAAATTATCCTAGATCACAGAATATAGCACCAGTCTAATGCCTACATAGGCTTACCGGTATTCTAAATGAATATTCCTGTTATCCCTTGTCATTTCCAGTCAGCATCTGACCTTATGTGGATGGACCCAAAGCTCAAGGCTCACGTGTTCCTTATATTGGACTGCTTGTGCCTTATATTGGACCAGCGTGCCCTATATTGGACCACTGGTCCAATATGAGGCACCCCGACTGGTCCAATTTACGTCAAGGTCAAGTCTAAAAGTTCCCGGTGTAAAAGCTCGGAGGGTGCGAGAACTTTCATTCCAGATGCGATCATTTTATCCAAAACTGACCACCTATCAACAGACCACTAGTTCTGCACATTTCTCTATTCACGGCCTCCTGCCACACTCTTTAAATTCGTCAGTTTTTATAAGGAAGGGGGTAGAAAATGTTTTTCTCGCCTTTTTATTTGGAATTCCCGCACTAAAACTTCTTGGTGTCAGCCATGATGGACTTAGTTTATAAGCAGTCCGCTAGATGTCGCGACTGTCTGAAAGCACTACCCAGTGTGGAGAAGCGGTGGTGGTCCAATATTGGGACCGGTCCAATATAGGTACACTTCCCCTACATGGAGGTATTTTTAGAAGTTGGTATACATAATACTCAAGCTGAGTAAAAATACGGGCCTTTGGCTTGGCTCCCACTGTGAGCAATTCCACTTGAGAATCATTCATAAATAAACAATAGACCACTCTTCTCATCCCCAGTACTATTTGGATGATAGTTCAATGAAAATATAACCATTAAAATAATTATTTTATATCCTTTTTGATAATTAAAAACAAAATGATCGACCATATTCACAAAGCATCCGTAACTTTTATGACGTCATCAAAATAAATCCCATGTTTTTTTTTTTTTTTCCAAAAATAGAATCAGACGCCATATCACTTCCTCGAGTTGAAACTGATCGAACATTCCGCATTTAAAGAGGTGGTTGGTTTTAATTTCAAAGCTAAGTACGTCACTGAAACATTTGTTTATATATTTTTATATTTCTAAATGCATATCAATATACCTAAATTTAGTGATAACAAATAGAGTAAATTATAATACTCATTTATAAATGATTTGTTTGTTTTCATGTTAATAATTAATTTTGGGGAAAGCAATAATTTCGTTATCTTAACAATTTCTCAGCAGTCGAATCGTTGCTGTACTCCCATGTATAGGTAAGGCTTAGGGCTGGTATTCAAAGTCATGTTTTGCCCTGGTATTATAGATTGTAACATTTGATAAGTGTATTAATGTAAATATAAATCCCTTTGTAATGGTTTAGGATAATTCAGACGAATCGTTGCTGTCCTCCCATGTACACAGAGAGAGAGGAGAAAAGGTGGAGAATACTCGAGAACAACACCCCATAATGCTTTGTTGCTGGGGGAAATTAATGTTAGTTTTGTTATTTTAACGGCCCGTGAATACAACAACGGAATGAGTTGTAGATGACAGTTCCGTTGATATCAATGATTGATTGAGAAGGAAATCATTTATTAGAGTGAAGCGTAAGAGAGGGAAATTGTAAAGATTAAAAGAAAGGGAAATGATTGGCTTATGTCCTAGGAAAAATCATAGAACACTGATAGACTGGGTGTGAGGGTCTTGATTCCGTCTCATGTGTATGTTTATTTTGTTTATAAGAATGACTTTTGATTTGTAATTAGTAGGAAAACGGAAGGTAAAGATGTAACCTTGGATATGAATTAAGTTGAGAATATTGCTTGTTTAAATAATTATGTTTATTGCTGAGATATCCATAATGATATACTGTTTATTTATTTTTCTGTTTTGTTTATAGAATAAAATAATGGTTAAAACGTTTCTATGACCATTAGAATTG